TTTATTCGCCGAGAATACCAAAAATTCCATCAGCAAGGTCAGCCTGTTGTGGATGTGGAATAAACTGATCGTTACTAAAAGCAGTGTAAGACAATCTCTTTTATGGATTACCTCCCTCTTTTGTGGGAGGTAAAAAAAACAGAAAGAAAAATAAAAAAGTGATAGCCCAGAACGCCTCAAATGTTATTTTCGGACGTTTAGAACACAACAATTTCGCGGGGGCATGCCCCTGGACTCCCTAGGACATTGTTGTTTCGATCGGCCCAGATTTCGGCTCCCCCCACCCTTTTTAGACATATCTAGATCCGCCGCTGGGTTATGAGATACCGGTAATCGATTAATGACCATCAAATCACTAAAATTGGAGCTTTCGCCACTACATTGCCTCAGAACCTGATTAGGATGCATCTGAACTTTACAAGTCCTTCCAGGGGCGGCTCCAGGAATTCTCTAACGAGGGGTCCAAGCTCCCCGCATAATAACTGTCTCTTATACACATCTAGATGTGTATAAGAGACAGCTCCCACCCCGTCAGGTAAAAATGTAATTTTTCGGAGTATTTTTTAATGTAAAAAAATAAAATGTTGTGTTAATTATGGGATTTTTTTTATTTAAAAAAATGATTTGATAGAAAGAACAGCGCCGCCCCTGATTCCTTCCAAGCACCAACTGGACATACATTTCGACACCAGACGGTAAAAAAATTAGGTTTACATATTGTACTTAATGTTGATGAATAAGAATAATCAACATCCATTTTCTGATCATTAACACCAAAGTTACTAAATAATTGAATTTTTAAATTGATTATGTTGAGTCCCCAAGTTTCCAAAGGAAAATTCCCCTTGTATGGAGATTCTGCCCTGGGATCCTACTGTGCACCATTGTCAAAACATTTAACTTAATCTATAGGGCCACGCAAACTTACTATACCCCATCATATTAAATGTTGTATATTGCCCTGTTGTGAACACTATATTAATTAAGAATTAATCCAATAAATGTAGCATTTGTTGATTTTCAAGAAATATACTTTACCTGAAATCAATTTTACAAAAAAATCCGAAATGTTTGTTTCATTTACAATATTAAAATAAAACAAAATATGTAAATATAGTCTTCTTTCAAATTCAAAACAGATACAGTTAACATTTTTAATGTTGTTATATTGTCATTTTTTACGCCCTATACAATGACATTTTTCATATTAAAAAGAACTGTAAATATTCCATATTAATTGCAATTTTTAACTGTAAATCTTTATTAACGGTGGGAAAAGTGTGAAATAATATGAAATAAGCTACAGTAAATATATTAATCATTCATCATTAACTAGCATTTCTCTTGTGGGCAATAATAAAACTGACAGGAAACTAAAATATAGGCTAAAAGACCTTTTTATAAACAAAATAATATTAGAAAGCACAGGTAACATAATTTAGACAAAGATGGTCTACTGTGCCAGTATAGAATGTTGTATAGGCCTATCTATCGTTAAAAATTTTAGAAATTTAAATGTGTTGACAATAGATATTAAAATTTGAGAAATACCATTACAGCAGAACCCTAGTGGGCTCCGTTTGGGACCAAAAAAGTGTCCCCCTAATAGTACGGTCCCCTGGATAAGGGCACCGGTACCTCACTAATTATAAGGGTTTACTAACCAAAAACGTGAAATTGTTCCTTTACATGAAATTGTTCCTTTACTAACTAGGCGTTGTGGCACGTAGTCATACAATGAGGACAGATCCCTGGAATTGTTAATTAATTTGTTTGGAAGGAACAAAATATTTTTAGAGTTGATCTCACGAGCAAAAGTTAATCTCCGCCGACTTGGAAGCATGTATGGGGAACGTATCATCAGTTTAAGAGTTGTTAGTCAGTTTTGGATGGTCGCTTTACTAATATAGCTGATCTCAATAACCCAAGTAACATGAACATTCATTTTACCTGTAACGTTTGGTAACTATTTTCCTCATTGATCGCGATGTCCCTTGTATTATAATAAGCACTGTTGCTTTTATTAACACCAAACACCATGCCAATGACACGGTGAACATAACAAAACAGAGACAAGACTCGGCGGAACAAAACCGGTGTAAAGTTATACTGCATGACTTGCAATTTTATGATAAGCAGAAATGTCTAACCTAAAGTAATCATTTTAGACCTGTTGCACACTACAATGCTCATACCACACAGCAGAATAACTTATTTTATCTTGTGCATGCAAAGAAAAGATGTACTGTAATAATTCACACTTGTTTTTAACGTCTTGATAATATTGGTCAATTAACTTACTCAATTCTATCAAATCTAGTTTTAAATGTCATAATTAGTAAGTATTTTACAAGATAAAACTAAAATAAATTTAAAAAATAGACGTATTGAAACATAACATGAATTTGGTTGTGTTTATCTAGGGTTTAACAATTGACTTCTCATCATGGGCTCATCCAACGACCGATGTTTTTGTTGTTCATACCTAGTACTGTACTTGCGCGAATAAGCGCCCCTTCTAATTTGAATAATCATGTGATTTTATTTTTAGCATGTCAATAATCCAATCAATCCTGGGACTGTGGATTTTCGGGGGCTTCGCCCCCAGGACCACTTTCTGAACCTTTTATTCGAAACTCGACCACGCCCAGTTTTGTCGGGGAAATCTGATACAGCATAAACATCTTTTTTTTAAATATATATCTTGTCTTCACCCTTGTTACAGCCTAACATTTGCTACTTCTTGTATGGAACCAAACCTAGAGTATTTTTGATTGATTGATATATTATTCCCTAGTTGGTTTTGTAGGCCTATCTTAAAAAATGTCTTAATGCTATGGATATTGAATTTTGAATAATACATTAAGTATAAAATATTAAGTATTAAATACTATTAAACAAAACTCCCAATTATATAATAACTAGGCCACTAATATTACGAACTACCTAGACCTATTTGATAAAAACATTAATCAATGCGGGATCGATCGGGACAGCAGACGCGTGTGTTGATCATTGTGTTACCAACGCGTCTGGTTAGTTTCAACTGCGTTCGCATGCGGGCGCCCATATATTATGCTTTTACCAATACTCTTTGCTTTTACCATTTCTTCATTAGCAACAACAAGCTTATATACACTTTCAACACAGTAGTGAGGCGGTATGACACAATAAACAATGATGTTAACTCATTAAATACCCTCAAAAAATTAATAATGTTCTCCTGATAGGATTTTTTCAGACTTTTAGTAGGCCTATGTTATTCTGTGTATATTTTAGGAACAAATTCCGCAAAAATAATTTCTGTTGAAATTAGTTCTAGGTTCGCTATTATTTTGCCATAGATTGACTGGACTACAGTGCATAGGAAAAGATAATGTTATGGTTGCGAAAACAACCGTGACCCACTGTTAACGTGAGAAGTAAATGGCTAGGAAAGGCAATACGATGGTTTACAATAGTGTTTATTTACTTATCCTAGCGTTCTCCTTGGATTGTATGCTTTGAAATTGAAAGATTAAATGAGAACTTGCCTGTTTCAAGTTTGATCGTAATTTCATTAATTAATTTTAGTGGAAGAGATTATATGAGATAAGAGTGTGCGCATACGCAAATCAGAATTGAACGTAAAAAAGGGATGATTTCAGAGACAGGATATCCCACCACGAATTGCCCCAAAGGGCGGGAGGTTACAGTATAAAATGTACATAACATGTACATACACATACATATATAAACATATTGCATATAAATACACACACATAAATATACACATTCATATATATATACATACATACATACATACATATACAGTACACACATACATGATACATATAAATACACATACAGATTGCGATTGTTCTTTGGGCAGGGTGTTTGAAAGTGGACAGTTGAACTTATAATTTTTGCTTTTGGTCAATTGCAAAATTTATTATTCATTTATTATAATTCTGTAATCATGTTTCCATGTTTTTATTCATATTAGTTTTTTTAATGTTAAAATAATATAATGATTCAATGATGGTTAAATTCTTGAAATTGCTGTTTATATTGTGAAGTTTTTGTTACTGTATTATATTGAAATTTGAGAAGATAAATGTAAAGTAAATCATAACATTAAATATGTACCATTGACAGTAACTTTCATTGTGATATACAGTACAATATTACTAATCCGGTATATAGAATAATTATTTCCATCTGATGACTGATGTTAATTGAGGATTACCAATAAGCCTAGTTTATTGTGTTTTTTTTACTATATTCCTGTCTCTTATACACATCTAGATGTGTATAAGAGACAGGTTTGATACTTCTAAGCTGTTATCATATTGTATCGTTGTACTTTCATATTTATAATTGGTTTTATGGATGACCCCATAGGAAATAAATTACTTTTTGAAGAAAACTTTCATGGCCCATCATTCTATCGTTGCAATTTGTTTGTCTGGTCTTGTGCGAATTTTATCCATATTTTACCCATGATGTGAATAAACTAAATCAAACATAGCACCTCCCTGGCCTAAAAAGGGGATAGAATTTTCTTGCATAATACTGTAATCAATTAATTATTTGCGAAGCAGTAAAATTATGGTTAATGAAAGTTATGCGAAGTTGGAAACAATTATAATGTATCCATAGGCCTATATGAAATCCATAGGATTAAACATCTTCAGCAATATCTAACAAAAATTAATAATTTTAAAAGTACTTGTGAAAACAACATGATCGTGCCACTTCCTATTTGAACCAGAGAATGACGTAATGAGAGATAAACGAGATTCTGACGCAGGTATGTATGGTATAGGCCTAACGGATCACCGCCCAACCAATCTGTCAAAATTAATTTTTAGGAAAGTTTGTTAGCATGAATTAATGAAAGGTTAATCCCAAATTATTAAAGTATTTTAAAATTACAGGTTGTTGTCATTATAAATTAAATAAAAATATAGGCCGCCAATAATCATAAACCGTGTGGTATTTTCTATTTGTAGGTTGTCCGTTATCAACCTATAATCTGTGGTCCATAGAAGTAAGTTGGCCTAGATTATATTATTATTGTACCGTTTCAGACAAACACTTTAGCATGTCACGTTTATTTCATGGCTTCATTTTTGATTCATTATCATGTCACCATAGCCTGGTTTCAGTTTTCAATCACATGTCCATTGATAATTGCTTGTGGAATGCAAAAATGCAAATGCTGTGCATTTCCCAATGTTAAAGGCCTACTACTGTAAACTATCCTTGGAGGCAGTATACTGTATAGCAAATATAAACACAATTCTATGAAAAATGTACAAATGCGGCTCTACTAACAAATAAATTGAAAATACGGTACTTTTTGATGCCTTGTTTTTTATATGAAAATAATTTGGAAACACATTTGGGCATGAAACCGATTCATATTTCTGTAGCTTGGAGTGGCTGTAGATTTTAACTAGACTTAAAATAATAATAGTCATAGGCCTATTAGATCAGACAACTCAGTCATTCACAGATAAGATAGTATAATACATACTCCAAGTATCGAAATGCACGCCATCGTGTCGGGATTCAATATTTTGACATTAATTATGTCATCATCCAGGAATGATCCACTCCGCTTTTTCTGGGCGGTCGGTATTCGGAGATTTATTGTACTGTAAAATGCTCAGACGTGACGAATGCGTGGACCGTTTGGACCGTTCTGTATTTCCATAGCGGACATTACACAAGGAGTCAGTTGTTGTGCCAGGTTATGCTGGTACCGTCACTTTTCAAATCTATGTATTATGATTAAGTTAAAGCAACGGATGCGGTACCGGAAAAAGTTTTAGAAACACATTTTCTGGATAGTTATCCATTTTGTTAATATTAACCCCACATATGACAATGGAACAACCCTGTGGATTGTAATTGGTGGATCAACAACACAGCGCGACGATTTGACCTCAGCTAGTTCCACATGGTTTTACATTATTTTATTTTTATCACTTAAGATAATTTTTTTTCCGCAAGTATTTGGGAACGTATGGCCCTACTGAGTATTCGGTACGATAACACGTCAGGTAGGGCAAAACATCACTCATATGATATTTTCCTGACGCAAACGCACCTAGAAATTTTATTTTTAATTATTATTATAATTATTATTATTATTGTGATTGAAGATTTAAAAAATGGAGAATGGCCAAAACCACCCGAGTAAAATAGTTTTATATCAAACTATTGGCGCCTACTAATTGTTTCAGGCTTCTATTTGTTTTGTTTTTATTCTAAGCAACGGATTTCTTTTCATTATTGATTACTGTTCGCAGCGATTACAAAAGACTGTAAAATGACCTTTTGTTTGATACTTATTGTCTCTTGACCAAATAGATTAAACGAAATTATAATCACCATATAACCCCATTATCATAATCACAATTATTATACCATTGTCATATTTATATTTATAGCTATTGTGGTGTGTATGAATTGTGTGTGGTCAGAAAAAAAAATCATGTATATAGGCCTTGACAGTAAATTTAATCTTGGATCATTATGAATCATAATAATAATAATAATCAATCATCATACTGATCATAATAATCATATTCATAATAGCCTAGCTATTTAATCATTATAATCATGATTATCATCATAATCATCCATTATTATAAAATTTTTCTTTTAAATAGGGGCCTACACTAATTTTTATGTGCAAGTTAATACTATTTATGATACTTCAAAATGAGCAAGTTTTTTTGGGTTTTTTTTTTTTTTTTGGTATTTTCATGGGACAATACATCTTTACAGACGAGTTGAATATGACTAAACCCAAGCTTTCGAGCACACATTGACCTTCTTGAGATAAAATTTGTGATGGTTTTTGGCAATGTTTGCCTTCCATATTACATTGCCACCATTTTGTTTAATTTAGCTCTATGGTTGGAACACGGTGGTGGTGGAGGCTCATTGGTTGACTTTATAATTTTTTCTGCACATTTTTGTACAATTTAAAAAAAAGATAGTTTCAGTAAGTTCATATTTAGTTTTTGTTTAGCTATGGGCCTAGTTTTACTAGGGCCAAGGCTATATTTAATCATATAATTTGGAGAAGGCTTCCTTTGAATGATTTACCTTGCCAAGGCTCACAATACTGAGACGGAGGGAGTTGTTTGTGACGAGAGAAATGGGGCTCTCCTCTTCTTAAACTTAAGCTCGGGTAAGGACCTAGGCTATACCTAGGGCCTAGGCTGTTGAACCTTGGTCCTTTTATTATCAACCAGAAAGCAATGCAGTGGCGCTAATGCACTTTAGTACTCCACCCTAACCTTAACAATAACATAGCAATACTGCAGCCGAGGTTAGGGTGGAGTACTAAAGTGCATTACCATTAGCGCCCAATTCAATGAAGTTAGAAGTTTCGTCTTTAAGAACTCTCAGGAGCTTAAAATGGATAAAAATATAAATAACAAGAAATATGTGTTACCCATTACCTGATGTTATTGCGGCCAACTACCATTGTTGCTGTCTCTTATACACATCTAGATGTGTATAAGAGACAGGGTCCGAAGGGTCTTAGGTTCTGATCATGAAATCTTATGATACAATTTGATTTTTCTGTTGGCCTGGATGACTTTGCTGATCGTTGACCTAGCTTCTTCGGTAAGGCTCCTGGATAAAAAAAAATCTCTAGTTGGAGTCAGGGAGGAGACACATGGCCGGTGGAACCCCTCCCCCCACTTTTTGAAAAAAAATATATAATGTCGGGAGATTTTTGTATGATCGGAAAGAAATGCAAGAAAAGAAAGAGGGAAGAAAGAGGAGAAGGATGGGAAAAAGAATGTTTATCCAGTCCTGCAATTCACATTCGTGGATCTGGGGGAGGGTGTCATCGGTCCTGACCCCTCCCTTAAGCCAAAAAAAAAGGGGGGGAAAAAAATTCTAGACCTACCTTTTCAGGACCCGTGAGCTGAATTTAAAAAAAAAATTTTCACTTAAGAAAATTAGAATTTTGAAGAACATAAAAGTCATTAAAACACAATTCAAATGTTGAAAAAGCTCATTTCCCGCCATCTAGGAATCACAATTTTCCAGGGGGAGAACCCCCGGACCACCCTTTCTTGTTGGGATTTATCAATAGAATACGCATGCAACTACTCATTTGTTTATGTTTA